GTGGTACTTACGGTGGTACTTACGGTGGTACTTACGGTGGTACTTACGGTGGTACTTACGGTGGTACTTACGATGGTACTTACGGTGGTACTTACGGTGGTACTTACGGTGGTACTTACAGTGGTACTTACAGTGGTACTTACGGTGGTACTTACGGTGGTACTTACGGTGGTACTTACGGTGGTACTTACAGTGGTACTTACAGTGGTACTTACGGTGGTACTTACGGTGGTACTTACGGTGGTACTTACGGTGGTACTTACGGTGGTACTTACAGTGGTACTTACGATGGTACTTACGGTGGTACTTACGGTGGTACTTACGGTGGTACTTACGGTGGTACTTACGGTGGTACTTACAGTGGTACTTACAGTGGTACTTACGGTGGTACTTACGGTGGTACTTACGGTGGTACTTACGGTGGTACTTACAGTGGTACTTACAGTGGTACTTACAGTGGTACTTACGGTGGTCCTTACGGTGGTACTTACAGTGGTACTTACAGTGGTACTTACAGTGGTACTTCTAGGTACTTCTAGGTACTTACAGTGGTACTTCTAGTGGTACTTCTAGGTACTTATTGTGGTACTTACAGTGGTACTTCTAGGTACTTACAGTGGTACTTAGAGGTACTTATTGTGGTACTTACAGTGGTACTTCTAGGTACTTATTGTGATAATTCTAGATACAGCTGTAACTTAGTAATTCAAGGATACTACAGTATTATTCCTATGTAGTAAATGTGGTACTTCTACATACATACATACAGAGGTCATTTGTAGGATTGTTTGACTATAAAACATAAAACAACATTATGTAAAACAAACGTCTTTATTAATATGGAATAAGTAGCACAGAAAGGACAGTATAAATACATTTAATGCATATTTCAAAACAAGTTTCAAGGACAAGGGAAACACTGCAAGAACTAGGTACCCAACCCAAGTAACAAGAATTACACATTACCAGGTACTTACCAGCCAAGTACCAGGTACTTACCAGCCAAGTACCAGGTACTTACCAGCAAGTACCAGGTACTTACCAGCAAGTACCAGGTACTTAACAGCAAGTACCAGGTACTTAACAGCAAGTACCAGGTACTTACCATAGGGACTGGCCCATAATAAGACAAAGGACTTTAACATAAGTACCAGTGATAACACCAGTAATTATATAGTAAGTACCAGGTACTTACCATAGGAACTGGCCCATAATAAGAAAAAGGACTTACCCATAAGTACTAGTAATACCAGTAATTATATAGTATACCATGTACTTACCAGCAAGTACCATGTACTTACCAGCAAGTACCAGGTACTTACCATAGGGACTGGCCCATAATAAGACAAAGGACTTTAACATAAGTACCAGTGATAACACCAGTAATTATACAGTGAGTACCAGGTACTTACCATAGGGACTGGCCCATAATAAGACAAAGGACTTTAACATAAGTACCAGTGATAACACCAGTAATTATATAGTAAGTACCAGGTACTTACCATAGGAACTGGCCCATAATAAGACAAAGGACTTACCCATAAGTACTAGTGATACCAGTAATTATATAGTATACCATGTACTTACCAGCAAGTACCATGTACTTACCAGCAAGTACCATGTACTTACCAGCAAGTACCAGGTACTTACCAGCAAGTACCAGGTACTTACCAGCAAGTACAAGGTACTTACCAGCCAAGTACCAGGTACTTACCAGCAAGTACCAGGTACTTACCAGCAAGTACCAGGTACTTACCAGCCAAGTACCAGGTACTTACCAGCAAGTACCAGGTACTTAACAGCAAGTACCAGGTACTTACCAGCAAGTACCAGGTACTTACCAGCAAGTACCAGGTACTTACCAGCAAGTACCAGGTACTTACCAGCAAGTACCAGGTACTTAACAGCAAGTACCAGGTACTTACCAGCAAGTACCAGGTACTTACCATAGGGACTGGCCCATAATAAGACAAAGGACTTTAACATAAGTACCAGTGATAACACCAGTAATTATACAGTAAGTACCAGGTACTTACCATAGGGACTGGCCCATAATAAGACAAAGGACTTTAACATAAGTACCAGTGATAACACCAGTAATTATATAGTAAGTACCAGGTACTTACAATAGGAACTGGCCCATAATAAGACAAAGGACTTACCCATAAGTACTAGTGATACCAGTAATTATATAGTATACCATGTACTTACCAGCAAGTACCAGGTACTTACCAGCAAGTACCAGGTACTTACCAGCAAGTACCAGGTACTTACCAGCAAGTACCAGGTACTTACCAGCAAGTACCAGGTACTTAACAGCAAGTACCAGGTACTTACCAGCAAGTACCAGGTACTTGCTGGTAAGTACATGGTATACTATATAATTACTGGTATCACTAGTACTTATGGGTAAGTCCTTTGTCTTAATATGGGCCAGTTCCTATGGTAAGTACCTGGTACTTACTATATAATTACTGGTGTTATCACTGGTACTTATGTTAAAGTCCTTTGTCTTATTATGGGCCAGTCCCTATGGTAAGTACCTGGTACTTACTGTATAATTACTGGTGTTATCACTGGTACTTATGTTAAAGTCCTTTGTCTTATTATGGGCCAGTCCCTATGGTAAGTACCTGGTACTTGCTGTTAAGTACCTGGTACTTGCTGGTAAGTACCTGGTACTTGCTGGTAAGTACCTGGTACTTGGCTGGTAAGTACCTGGTAATGTGTAATTCTTGTTACTTGGGTTGGGTACCTAGTTCTTGCAGTGTTTCCCTTGTCCTTGAAACTTGTTTTGAAATATGCATTAAATGTATTTATACTGTCCTTTCTGTGCTACTTATTCCATATTAATAAAGACGTTTGTTTTACATAATGTTGTTTTATGTTTTATAGTCAAACAATCCTACAAATGACCTCTGTATGTATGTATGTAGAAGTACCACATTTACTACATAGGAATAATACTGTAGTGTCCTTGAATTACTAAGTTACAGCTGTATCTAGAATTATCACAATAAGTACCTAGAAGTACCACTGTAAGTACCACAATAAGTACCTCTAAGTACCACTGTAAGTACCTAGAAGTACCACTGTAAGTACCACAATAAGTACCTAGATGTACCACTAGAAGTACCACTGTAAGTACCTAGAAGTACCTAGAAGTACCACTGTAAGTACCACTGTAAGTACCACTGTAAGTACCACTGTAAGTACCACCGTAAGTACCACCGTAAGTACCACCGTAAGTACCCCTGTAAGTACCACCGTAAGTACCACCGTAAGTACCACCGTAAGTACCACCGTAAGTTACCACTGTAAGTACCACTGTAAGTACCACCGTAAGTACCACCGTAAGTACCACCGTAAGTACCACCGTAAGTACCACCGTAAGTACCACCGTAAGTACCACTGTAAGTACCACCGTAAGTACCACCGTAAGTACCACCGTAAGTACCACCGTAAGTACCACCGTAAGTACCACCGTAAGTACCTAGAAGTACCACTGTAAGTACCTAGAAGTACCACTGTAAGTACCACTGTAAGTACCACTGTAAGTACCACCGTAAGTACCACCGTAAGTACCACCGTAAGTACCACCGTAAGTACCACCGTAAGTACCACCGTAAGTACCACTGTAAGTACCATGGACTTACCGGCCCGTAATGTAAAGTGTTACCGCACTTTCACTGACAATGGTGTATGGTATAGCTTAGGGATAATTATGATCAGATATTATCACAAATAAAAATAAAAAAACATATCTAATACTTCATTCATCATGTATTCTGGGTAGAAATAATTGAAATAGCTATATATGATTGCCTCTGTAAACGGCAATGTGGTGAATCTGTAATTGTTAAGCTTAAGATTTGAACTTTGATAAATTAGATTCGTGAGGATCAGAGGTCTGTGAACTCTGCAGCTGGAGACTCATACCCCTCCTCCAGTGTGTGAGAGGACGCCCTCTAGTGGATGTGACACTGCTGCTCTCTCAAACCCCTCACTTCATTGTGTGTGTTGGTGCTTCAAAAAACACAATGCAACTTTTATCCAGTTATTTTCCTTATGATCCTTACAACAATTAGATTTAGTTCAGGGCTAACGCTAATATTATACTTCATTATATCTCAAAAGCATGCGGAGGCCGGTTCTGGAACTGCAGTTATACAGGTGTCATGTTAATGCTAAGCAAATCAGTGTGTGAGTCAGAGAGACATACAGTAGTTGCTATACTACCACCTGTAGTGTGTCTGAATAATAATAATAACAATAATGTGTTATGATATCTGTTGAGATAAGGTAACAGTCTTCTTAGAAACAAAACCCTGTATGCTGTAGGTTTTTGCCAAGTTCTTATTTATAAGTCCATTACACCATTCCAAATGTGCGCAAAAGAAATTAAGCTTCCGGTCACACCACTCCCACACAATGCCTTTGCCGTTTATGTCACCCTACAGTAGGTTGGGTGGGTCTTGTATGGACACTGCCCCTTATCCTTCGGGCCTCATCTCGCTCACGTCACTCTGAGGGGCTTTGAATGTCTGACAGATACATACCAAGCCTCCTACTTGTGGCTGTCTCCCTCTCTGCCAGGGCCAAGGCTAAATATATTTCCCCAGTTTGCAAATGTAGCACAAGTCTTGCAACCCGAGCCCCCCGCTGCCTCTCTCTCTCTGCCTAACTTTTGACAGGGTTCACGTTGCCCCCGTCCCGCGTGTGTGTGTGTGTGTGTGTGTGTGTGTGTGTGCGCGTGGGTGAGTGTGTGTGTGAGTGTGTGTGTGTGCGAGTGGGTGAGTGTGTGTGTGAGAGAGAGACGCGGGGGGTGGGAGAAAAGGGAGTTTCGGAGAGGTTATTGGCACTTCTGTACTTTCCGTTGCATTGCCAGGCTTACGTACACACTTTTTGGACAACTGCACAACTTCTACGCAATACAGTCAAAGTGAGCCGCTGGGTTGGCCTTGGCGTGGGGTGAGTAGGGCAAACAAGCTATGGACAGGATGGAAAGGAACCACCGGCCCATTGTGGTAAGAAACATTTTCAAACGCTTTCATCCAAACTTTTTGATATTTGAGTTTTGATATGGCCGTGCAAGAATTTTAAGTTGTCTCTGAGTGCACCGTCCCCTGGTTCAAAGTGGATTTCAAACTGTCCGTCCATTTTGGGCCGGGCCGCAGCTGCTATACAAAGGCGCTGTGTTTTTAATTAGACTTGCATGCAATCCCACCGGTCACTATGTGCTCTGGGTGTCCCGGGATAGGAGGCTTCATGGGGGTTTTGGTCGTACCAGAACCCCTGCTGGAGGCACATAGTTTTATTCATATAAATCAAATAAGCAGTTGGCTAACATTGAATTGGTTTTTGATGTTAATTGATTATATATTCAATCTTGTTACAATAATTACAAGTTGGAGAATATGTTTTCGGTGTTCAGTTTAACTTACCCGCACATATCTTTGTAATTTTGTATTAATTTGATGTTATTACTGTAATATTTAAGCATTACTAACATAATAATTAAATTATGTTAGGACTTGTTATTAGTGCTGTATTCTATTTGTGAATACTGTGCATATAAAAAAATATTTTTCTGAAATGTCCAGCTTTGGAGTTGCTTTGTCACTGGCATTAGTTTCAACTGTATTCAATAACTATCACGACACTTCAATTTTGACCGAGAAGTTAATCTTTTTTTTTTTATCCCCACATTTACATTAAGGACTGGACTACAATAATAAACATATTGGGGGAAAATGTGTGAAATTAATTTATTATGTCCGGAAATATGGAAGTAATAGATGTTGACATAAAACAAGAATTCTTATGGCATAGCAAAGCAGCTTGTTATTGTGTTGATGAATAAGACAAAGTATATAACTTTCAGACTCGTATAACTTTATTTTGGCCCAGATTCATCACACATGTTGAGATCATATTACTGAGCAACATAACCCCATGTTTTGTCCCATTAACAGTCTATTCTAACTTCTGTCCATTAAAATACACTTTCCAACCAATAGAGGCATTTTAATATTATTTACTCTTTGGCCTTTAGCACCGGTCCTCTGAGTGCTTATTAATTTTAGTGATTTTTTTGTAATTATTATTTTATGTTTGTTTAGTGATTCTAAATACATGGTGTTTTAGTTCATGTTCATGTTGTATGATTATGTTTATATTTAGTAGCAGACTTCTATACCTTGTCTGTAGGCGGCACTTTGGAAACTGTTCTCATAAATGTGCTATATAGATAAAGTGGATTGGATGATGAAAATTATCACATAGTTATACCTATACATCGCCAATCCTAATTTCAACGTTGGCAGTCTGATACCAATGAAAAGATGTTCTTGTGTGAGTTTTTCCATTTACAATTAGAAAGCTTAAAAAATGGTTGTTATTCTTGTTGGGTTTTTTTCTATTGTCCACAAGAAAATAATTGCTTGTCATTAATTTCTTCTCTTTGCCTCACATTCTTAGCAGTGCGTCCCTCCTGCAGAGACACTATAGGAGTTCCGTTCTTATCACACACAAAAAGAGGAAAATTGGTCATTTCTGTCGCTTGGGTGTGTGACTCATCTCCTCCTCTGGCTCCAGTTGCCATGACACTGACTTCTCTGACAGAAAGTGAAGGGGACGAGGGCATTTACAGCCATCAAACATGTAGTTTTAGTCAATAGATGTGTCATTGTTTTGTTATGGAGTGGCATGGACTTGTCTGGGAGGTCTTTCTCTGCTTTTGGAGTTATACAGGTCTCATGTTGATGCTACTGGTTGTTTGAAAATGTTTCAAAGGAGATGTCTGCCTCTTCAATTGTATTTCATTTTGAAAAGAATACACATTTATATTATGTGTGATGTATGACAGTAACGTCTAAAAGTATGAAGTATTTTCCCTTCCTTTGGTGTCACCAGTAAGATTTGCTGGAATATTTTGACCAATGATGTGGGGCTTCCATGATTTTAATTAACTGTGTCCAATCAGGGCCCTGTGGGGGCGGGTCACTTGCATTCCATCTTCACAATTTTTTAAAGTAACTGACCTTTACTCTACCAATGAAATTAAGTGTTTTTGTGGATGCAAATATGACAAATAATTCATTTCTAAATCTAAATTAGATTTGAAAAATATGTGGCACCTGCTTGTGAAACAAAACTGTTTCAGTAATTAGATGTGAGACTGGCTATAACACAACACTGCAAACATGTTCCACATTTACCAGTATGAATGTGTGAGAAGTGGTGGTCAGAGGGGCCAGTGGCACAGATTAGCTTTGCCTCTCTTAGTAAACTGCAGGGCAGGTGTGGCTACAACAGTAGCTTAAGTCAAAAACAATAACAAGCAGCTTAGTTTCTGAGATGATTAAGACACTGCTACAGTTATGTTTACTTGTACAAAACATGCGTTCATTTCATTTTTGAACCAAAGTGGATCGACATCATCATTTTAAAGTGTTGTATAATGGCATCAGCGTGCGAAAGCAGCTCCTGACTACTTCTGATGAAGGAATCATAGCCCAAGAAAAGAATAAAATTATAGTTCACTTTCCCTGAGAAGAGAATGGAAGAAGAAGAGATCTAAACACAGATTCATCTCTGTGCGAATACAAACAATTCTTTCAGTTCTGCTTCTCATGCCTTATGTCTTGCACCAACTGTGGAGGGCTGATTGTCTGACTCGTGATTCACACATTTGTTTTGGTGGAATTATTCTTAGATCATAATTTGGTGGCTGTTTGTTTTTCCCAGTTAAATCCGTGTTTCACCAAGTTTGTTTTTGGTTCAGGTCGTTTTTCATGAGCCCATCACACTTTCCTTTTGTACACAGTTGAGCACAACAATCGTTTGTTGAAAAACATCTAAATTAGTGGTGCATGATTCTGCACAGATCAGCATCAGTTTAATGCGCTGCAAAACATTCTTCAAAAAGATGACATTTGAACGAGATGAGCAGGTGGAGTTAAAACATTTATAGTGTAGTTTAAAAACACTAGAATGAATGGGGAATCTCCATCACAGTTTGCATCGGGTTACTAAAACCTCACGGCAAATAACAAAGACAACAAGGCCATTATCAAGATGTCCTGAGAAGAGTGCACTGTTTATTTGTTGTGAAAGTTTTACTCAAATCATACAACTTAATATTGTATTTTTGTTCTGTTTGTTGATGGAAGTTCATCTTTAAGTTCCAGCTATTTTCACGGATTAGAGGCAATTGTGGGATGCAAGGAAAAAGGTCAATGTATAACATGCTGTGAGAATTTTTGCATATTCATTAGTTTCAGAATCATTGCCATAGCAACTGACAATTTAGAGCAGAGGTATTAATTCATTGGTAGTCCTGAAAATGTCAGCAGAAACCTATAAACCTATATTTGGATCAGGGGTGGTTGAGTCCTACTCTTTTCCTCCTGATTTAGCTCTATATGTTAGTCCTTCCTTGTTGCTGAGAGTGGAGTCTGAGCTGGTTTTGCCCTTGATATTCCCCTGGTAAACTCTCTGCAACTTGTGAAACCAAGCAGCACTCTCCCTCTACACTCGCTCTTAAATGGCTTCAGGCTTCTTCAGTGCCTCAAATGCCTGAACAAACCGTCAAACTTTGGACCAGTACATGTTGATACGCTCGCTGGTACAGAGCTGTCAACCCAATGCTGGATGTGTGAAAGACACAAGCATCACTGTGGTCGCTTAATATCCCCTCAATATTTCAAAGCACTTCTAAGTGCTAATTGTATTATTCTAAATGATATGAATGCATTAAAGAAATGAATAAATACTGAGTGTTGTGTACACACTGCAAATTGTACAACAATTATTTTTCCTTATTTTGCCAGACATTTCATCATTTTGTAATCTAAAAAGAGTGATAATACAATACCTCTCTTAGAGGCTCAAGCATTAATACACACAAATGTCTTTTGTGATGATAATAGTAATCATAGAACTCAAAAATAGAACTCAAATAGAATAATTCGTGTCAACCTCAGAAAGTTCAAACTTGTTTTACTCAAGCCTGGTGGAATGCATTACGGATGCAAAAAGTACCATTAAAACAGTTTGACTTGGGTCAACCATTTTATTCTCAGAATAGTTTACTGGAATTCTGGCCCATTCCTCCTGATAGAACTGAGGTACATTTGTAGGCCGTATGCTTAGGGTCTTTGTCCATTTTGAAAACCCATTTCCAGCCAAGCTTGCTGATGAGATGTTGCTTCAATCATTCCCCACATTGCTCCTTCTTCATGATGCTATTGTAGCAAGTACAGCAGATCCTCCTGCAGCAACACTGCCCCACAACATGACACAGTTGCGCTGGCATTTTTCCTTGAGGGGAGATCCGACCAATGAGCTACGCGTAACACAGATTATCACTATGGCAGATGGAAGCATGCTATGATTCAACATTTGCTTTTTAGCCTATTAAATCTCCTGTTTGATCTTTATGCTTTTCTGTCCCCCTGACACTGAAAAGAAGCAGCTCATTAAACACTAAACAGCTTTCACACGACTTTCCTTGTCTAAGTATCCGCTGAGTATTTTATGCACTATCGATCCCCATATTGTCTTGTTATATTTCTACCTTCCCCTGCACGCATGGCTTGCCTTGTAATAAGCTGGCAGAGTTGGTTACTATGGCGCTGTCGGGGTCTTTGCCTCGTCAGCCAATCCGCTCCCAAGCTATTTTCAACAGTCTGTGAAGTGAAGCAAGCTGCTAAATGAGAGACACCAGGGTTGACATCAGCGTGGATGAAAGACGGCATGTGTATTTTGAAATAGAAATAGGATGAGGAGGCTATTGATTTGTGCTATTGACCAGTCACATTTATCGATACAAGATGTTCGTTTTCGCTTGTTAGTGATTCATCCAGAGTGACTCACAAGGCCATCTCCGAGCCCTTCGCATGCTCCTCTTTGTCACTGAGTTTGTCCACACTTTTTCCCATAATTTTTATCCTGAAGTTAAGAAGTGGGCTTTATATGATCCCACAATGACGGTTTTTTTTATATTGTAGTATTTCTTAGCTCT